TTATTGTGTTCTTCATAGAATCATAGAATGTTAGAGTGGGAAGGGACCTTGCAGGTCATCTAGTCCAACCCCCTGCACTCTGCAGGAGCAGAGCCGAAAGAGCCCCACAACCAATGTTCCCTCTAAGCCGTGGAGTTTTGTGAGCAGAAATTCTACTTTGTGAGCTACTGGCATTTAAATCGTGAGCCATCGATTTGGCTGCTGCATGAGTTAGTTTGCTCTGAAGCCATCCCTTCCTGAGCTAAGACAAAAATGTGTGAGCTGGAGGCCAAAAAACTGTGAGCTGGCTCACACTGACTCAGCTTAGAGGGAACACTGCCCACAACATACCCGAAAGAGGGCCGTCCTGCCTCCGCTTGAAAACGGCCAGCGAAGGAGCATCCGCCACCTCCTGAGGCAGACTGTCCCACTGCTCAACCACTCTGACAATTAGGAAGTTCCTCATTTAGCTGGTATCAACTCCCTTGTAATTCCCACCCATTAGATCGAGTCTTGCAATCCAGAGCAAGAGAGAATAGATCCGCTCCATCTTCTACATGACAGCCCTTCAGATACTTGAAGACGGCAGTCATGTCCCCTCTAAGCCTTCTCTTTCCCAGGCCAAACAAACCCAACTCTTTCAGCCTTTCCTCGTAAGACTCGGATTCCAACCCTCTCACCATCCCGGTGGCCCTCTTCTGGACACGCTCATTTTGCACGTTGCGATTCAGTTTCTCAGTGAGATGGCAAAACCATCCCTGCAGACACAATTGACCGTCTTGCAGAGAGACCTGGCCTCCCACTTGGTCCAAGCAGGATTCTTCAAGATTATTCCTGTGTATTTCTCTCCTCCCTTGCAGAGCTCAGAATGCCTTATTCATAGTCAGGCTTCGCCCTACAATCTCGTCTTGCTTTCAGGCTGCTTTTCTGAGCCAGTAAAGTGGACAAATATTTGCCCCATCCCAGTTTCGAGTCTTTTGTGGACTTCCTAGGTGTTTCAGCTAGAAGAAGATGAAGAACATGATGATATTGGATTTATACCCTGCCCTTCACTCGGAGTCTCAGAGCGGCTTACAAACTCCTTTCCCAATCCCCTCCCCACAACAGACACCCTGTGAGGTAGGTGGGACTCTCTCAAGAACTGCTCTTGAGAGAACTTGTGAGTGACCCAAGGTCACCCAGCTGGCTGCATGTGGAGGCGTGGGGAATCAAACCCGGTTCTCCCAGATTAGAGTTCTTCGCTGAGAGAGCTCTTTCGAGAATTGCTCTTTCAAGAACAGCTCTGACAGAACTATGGCTAGCCCAAGGTCATCCAGCAGCTGCAAGTGGAGGAGTGTGGAATCCAACCCGGTTCTCCCAGATTCGAGTTCACGCACTTAAGCACTACACCAAACTGGCTAGGGCAAGGATTCAAAACTTTCTGTGGTTTTAAAAACCAGCGGGATTCTGTAGCCTTCTGTTTCCTTTCTTGGGACCCCGCACTGTCCAACACAGGACTGGTCTACAATTGTAAAGATTGTTATGGGGTGGAGAACAGAGGTGTGACCAGGTAGCCAATGGGTTATAGTGGTGGTAGAAGGACAAAGAACTCCCCCCCCCCCGTTTACTCACCTTTAGTTGTGGCAGCTGAGGGCTTGTCTAAGATCTGAGCTCTGGAATGGCAAGTGACGGCTGGAGTTAGGGCAAGTGACGGCTGGGGAAATCCTCAGAAGCAACACTTTCTTAATTCCGTCACAACCGAGCAAGAAGTCATAG